TGCCTAAATGATAATATAGGAAACTGCTTGAATGGTTGTTTTCCCCAAAATCAGAAAAACTGCCGAGATTTCCAATGATTACGGCGATCACATTGTTCAAGATAATTACAGGCTAACTGTTCTACATCATTCCCTCCCTCTTCGGAAAAACTCGCCCTCGAGTTATTGATCAGGATAGAGGGGTGTATCAGAAGCATGATACTCAAATAAGTCTGCCACATTAAATGTAGGAGAAATGTTGAGATCACCCGGAAGTTCAACTATATAGGCGTTGTCGTTGATCTTCTTCAGGATGCGGCAAGGACCAATCTTCTTGTGCTTCAGTTTATTATAGGTACCTACAGGAAAACGCTCCTTTCGTAGGAAAACCATTACCTCATCGCCTACCTCAAAAATTTTCGAACATCGCCGTTTGTCAGCATCCTCCTTATACTTTGAATTAGAAGCAGCCAATTGACTAGCAACAGCAGCTTGGACTTCATTAATTCTGGTCGTCAAATTCTCTGCCGCGACACTATAGCCTGGAATCTTGGGCAAGGGAACCAAATCCAGAGTATGTTGTGGTGTACGCCCATAAACGACCTGAAAGGGAGATGTACCGGTAGAGCGGTTAACCGAGTTGTTGAAGGCGAACTCAGCAGGAGCAAGATACCGGTCCCATTGCTTAGGCATATCACTGCAGAGGCAGCGAATGATATCCGCCATAGTACGATTCACAACTTCCGTCTGACCGTCCGTTTGGGGATGAAAAGAACTACTATACTGTAAATCAGTCCCAAACAAACGCCATAAAGTACGCCAAAAATGGCTCAGAAATTTCGTGTCACGATCGGAAGTGATTGTCTTCGGCACACCATGGAGACGGACTACTTCACGAAAGAATAAACTTGCCACATGCGAAGCATCCGAAGTTTTCTTACAAGGGATGAAGTGCGCCATCTTTGAAAATCGGTCAACCACCACGAAAACAGAATCTAAACCCCGTTGAGTGCGAGGAAGTCCCAACACGAAGTCCATCGATATGTCTACCCAAGGACCCGAAGGAATAGGCAATGGGGTATAAAGACCAGTGTTCTGAGAGTGGCCCTTAGCGGTCTGGCAAATGTAGCATTTACTGACAAATCGCCCACGTCTCGCTTCAGTTGAGGCCAATAGTACCGCTCCTCCACCAAGGCTATAGTTTTATCTCACCCCAAATGTCCGCCGAGAGTACTACCATGAAGCTCTCGAATGAGTTGTTCACGTAAGGAACCACGTGGAATGCATAATCTATTGCCAAAGAACAAGAAATTTTCTTGAATTATCATATCGCCATGACAACTTGTTTCAGAACACTTCTCCCATATCTCACCAAAATCATCATCCTCAGGATAAAGAGAACATAGGTGATCAAAACCGACAACATCAGTGCGCATGGTCACGAGTGTCGCAGCACGTCGACTCAGCGCATCTGCCACTTTATTTAAATGGCCTGCTTTGTGACGAAGCACAAAATTAAATTGTTCCAGAAAAGAAACCCATCGTGCATGCATTCGATTTAAGTGCTTCCGACTCTTGATATATTTAAGAGCCTGATGATCGGTATTAAGAACAAATTCCTGCTGATAAAGATAGGACTGCCAATGCTTTATAGCTCGCACGACAGCATAATATTCCTGCTCATACGTCGACCAACGCCGGCGAACTTCATTAAGTTTTTCACTAAAGAAGGCTATAGGCTTACCTTCTTGGGAAAGGACAGCGCCAATCCCGACGCCGGAAGCATCACAATCCAGCTCGAACACTTTCTCAAAATCAGGGAGCATCAATACCGGCGCAGTGGAGAGCTTTTCTTTTATAAGAGCAAAACTGGCCGAAGCTTCATCTCCCCAATGGAATTTGCCCTTTTTTAAACAGTCAGTGATCGGGGCCATAATAGTACTGAAATCTCGAATGAAACGCCTATAGAACGTTGCAAGACCATGGAAACTTCGAGCCTCGCCAACATTCTTTGGAACTGGCCAATTGCGAATCACAGCCACCTTATCTGCATCAACGTGAAGTCCATCCGCGCCAACAACAAAACCCAAAAACAAGAGGCGTTCTGTCATGAAGCTACACTTTTTCAGATTAATGAACAATTTATTTTGCTGCAAGGTTAGTAGGACATCCCTCAAGTGCTCCATGTGTTGACGCCCATCCGGACTATATATGAGTATATCATCAAAGAAAACTACCACAAACTTGCCAATAAAAGGTTTGAGAACCTGAGTCATCAAACGCATGAAAGTATTAGGTGCGTTAGTGAGTCCAAACGGCATGACAAGCCATTCATACAATCCCGCACTTATCTTGAAGGCCGTTTTCCATTCGTGGCCGGGGCGGATGCGAACTTGGTGGTATCCACTTCGAAGGTCGATCTTCGTAAAAATCCGTGATCCAGAAAGTCTGTCTAGCATATCATCAAGTCGTGGAATCGGAAACCTATACTTGACAGTAATCCGGTTAATGGCACGACTGTCTACACACATACGCATGGTGCCGTCTTTCTTTGGCGTGAGAAGTGTAGGAACTGCACATGGACTTTTGCTTTCACGCAAGAAGCCCTTTCGAAGGAGCTCTCCCACCTGCTCCTGTAGAATCTGATTATCCTTCGGATTCATTCGACAATGCGGCAAATTAGGAAGACTAGTACCTGGAAGAAAATCAATCTCATGCTGGATATCCCTCAAAGGAGGTAATCCGTCAGGTAAATCCTCAGGCATAACATCACTGAATACCTTTAATAAGGGCTTAAGAATGTCGGGAACACGAACCACAACTTGCTGATCGCCCTTGTCCACAATCATATACATCCCTTCACGCTTTCGGATGTTCATCATAACCCCTGCATTCTGCTTCTTCACAATCTGAGGGGAATTACTCTTCGGTCTCAAAGTAATTTTAGTCCTTTTCCACACAAAAGAATACGTATTTTCCCTAGCTCGGTGTGTAGCATCAACATCATATTGCCATGGTCGACCCAGTAAAACATGACACGCATCCATCTCCACAACATCACAGATAATAGTATCTTGATATGATTTTCCGATTGAAATAGGCAAACGGTATAATTGGTTTACCTTAAGTTCTGCTCCCTTGCGTATCCACCCGATCGTGTAGGGCGCGGGATGCGGCTCCGTCTTTAGTTGCAAGTGATCCACCAAGGCCTTTGACACTATGTTCTCGCAACTTCCGCTGTCAATAATGATATCGCATACTTTGTTGTTGACAGTACAGCGAGCGCGGAAAAGCTGATTCCGCTGGGTATCTTCTGTCCGCGGAGTAAGCAATAGACGACGCACTACACAATTAACTTGCTCACCCACTTCATCTTCCACTCCCACTTCTTCTTCCTTTTCCCAATCTTCCTCATACACATCTTCGTCATGTTCAACAATATTGGCCATTCTACGACGAGGACAATCGCTGGAACGATGGCCTAACTCGTTACACTTGTAGCACCTGATCGGTTGGGGCTTGGCATATGGATTCTGGGTATTATAATTGGGAGTGCGATTGTTTGTTGCGACTGCTTCCTTAGGCGTCCCACTAGTACCCCCGGAACTCGGCTCGAATCGGGTGTTTGTTGACTAGAACTTGCAATATCGTGCTGTCTTCCTTTCCCGAATGACCCACGACCCGAATAATTGCTACCACGAGTACTAAGGCTAGTCCTCTCCAATTGCACCTCAATTTTTCGCGCCATATCCTGGGCGTCTTCGACAGAGAATAGTCGATGCAAAGAAACCCGATCCTGAATATTAAGTCGCAAACCATTAATGTACCTAGCAGTTTGTTGTGCCTCGGACTCATCCAGGTTATTACGAGCGGAGAGTCGAACGAACTCTTCCGTATAAGCTTGGACCGATCTATTCGATTGTCGGCAATTTTGGAATTGCTGAAATAACAGTTGCTCATAGTCCGTTGGGAGGAACCTCTTCTTCAACTTCTGTTTCATCTGACCCCAAGATCGAATAGGAGCCTTGCCTTGTCGACGTCGCGTCAATTGAGTTTGTTCCCACCAAGCTGAAGCGCCACCCTTCAACTTGTACGCCACAAGTTTCACTTGGCGATCCTCGTCAATATCCATAGCGTCGAAGAATTTCTCGACCTCCCAAAGCCAATCAAGGAAATCTTCAATATCCAAATTCCCATTGAAAGTAGGGAGATCTACCTTTAGTTGATATTGCTCAGGATCTCGTCGATATCCTCCCTGATGTCGATTCCCACGAACATGCTCCTCCTGGAGTCCCCTGTATCGGCGACCACCACGAATCTGCATCTCCTGGAAATCATCGTCTTCGTCTTCCGTATCCTCGACATAGTCTTGACGCCTATGTCAGGGAATTCCTCCACGCCCCATAGCATCTTCGGGATCACGAACGACAGGAATTCGCTCGGCTGGAAGAACGCCAGGCGCATGGTTTGTGGACAAACGCTGGATGGCATCAAGGATCTCTTGAAACCTCCGATCGGTTTGATCCACGAACTGATTGAACTCAGCCCGCGTAATAGGCTCGTTCTCACGGCCCTCAGCAGCGGGGAGATTGACATTCACGTTATTCACCATCGTCACAGGAGAAACCTGCTTTGATACCAAATGACGCAGAGAGAAGCGTAAATTTGGAACAACTCCAAAGAACTCGAAATTTTTATTCAATAATAATGTGTTCTTGATTACAAGACGGACATCTTATATATAGAGATAGGACTCCTAATACTAATGGAAACCGAATAATTAAAGAAACTGCCTAAATGGTAATATAGGAAACTGCCTAAATGATAATATAGGAAACTGCCTTACTGGTAATATAGGAAACTGCCTAACTGATAATATAGGAAACTGCCTAAATGATAATATAGGAAACTGCTTGAATGGTTGTTTTCTCCAAAATCAGAAAAACTGCCGAGATTTCCGATGATTACGGCGATCACATTGTTCAAGATAATCACAGGCTAACTGTTCTACATCAAGATACTTGCATCCTATGGGTTACCAATAAGTCCATCAGCACCGTATGGATCATTGGATATGATGAATTTTACAGAACAAAGTTCTTTTTACTATCCCGACCGTGGCGGGGTGTCAAATGCTGTGGGAAGTTCTTATGCGTGTGTGGAAAGGTTGGCTTTTCAGCAAGCAGATAGCCAACTTGATTATCAGTTGGATTCCAATGACCAAAATGATTCAGGGCCTAAACAAGGTGAAGGTGCCCTTGGGCGACTTGGTATTTCTGATGTGGCTAATAATGCAATAGCCAGGCCTCTTGCTCGTTCATTAGATGAGAAGATGCTAAGGGCACTCTCCTTGTTCAAGGAGTATTCTGGAGGGGGAATTCTGGCTCAGGTCTGGGTCCCCATAAAGCTTGGGGATCTGTATGTCTTAAGCACCTATGAGCAACCTTATTTACTTGACAAAATGCTAGAAGGATATCGAGAAGTATCCAGAACATTTACCTTCTCTGCCGAGGAAAAACCGGGTACTTTTCTGGGCCTTCCTGGTCGTGTTTTTACGTCGAAAGTTCCAGAATGGACTTCTAATGTAATGTATTACAATAATAGTGAATATTTACGGGTAAAACATGCAGTTCACCACAATATCCATGGTTCTATTGCCTTACTAGTATTTGACTCTTCTGATAAGTCCTGCTGTGTGGTGCTGGAACTTGTCACTATGAAAGAAAAACCCAACTTCGACTTGGAAATGGAGAAAGTGTGCCTTGCCCTCCAGGTTAATTTTCCTTTCTTTGTTCCTCTAGAATGAAGATGACTGTTCTCTTCTTTGCCTTTCTTGTAAAAGTTGCGAATCCAGATGAGCGACACACAATTTAACTACATAGTGCCTTTGCTGGAAACCACTATACTAGAAGTGCATCGCACGCGGAGTTTCTTTTGTTACTTTTCCACCTTTTGGTCAGAGAATTCATAGAAGCGCTCCACTTTTTAGAGAATTCATATAAATAATAGCTATTTTCTTTTGTTTGATATATGAAGCAAGACTAAATCTGATCAATGACTTTTATTTCGCATTTTATACATCAAGACAATGCTTTTTGAGAGCAGTTGATCAAGCATAGTGTTTGTATTTGGTTTCTGAAGATTGTGGAGTCTGCATACAGGTCTGTTTTATTTACATTCGTAAAGGCGAAGTATATTAGCTGTTTTTCCAGAGACCGAGCATGAAGTTCTGCCTGCATGAGGAGGAGAAGGGCTTAGCTGGAGTAGTGGATTGTACCTTGGTTGTAGCATACTGTCTAGAATTGTCAGCAAAACTGTGACACACTAACATTTCGTAGCGCTCATTTCGAGGCTACATGAATGGACTTCTCTTGAAGTCTCCTTTTGTTTCTTTGCACTAATCATATCATGGATTGAGACTTTCTTGGGGGTGATTTTTACTTCGGGCTTTCTTGTTTGCTTCTTTAGCTGTAATTACTTAACCTATGTGGGAAATCAACCTTTTGGAAAGTTATTGCTTTGGCTTTATAGTGAAAAATAGTGAAAAGAAGTGTTTTATAAGAAACTTGTATGCGGGGAAATTTCAATGTTGTCTAGTTGATGCACGGCAAAGAAACACGTTCTTTGACATTCGCTTCAAGTATAAATGCTTATAACATTACAGAAAGGAAAAAAAAAAGAGTGAATCAAATGACTTGAACTTATATATTATGGAATTATTTAGGGGTCCATTAAATGCTAAGGTTAGGCATCGAATTTTTCTTTTTTACATCAGGATTTTCTTATGCTGTGGCTGGATGATATCATTAGTGCTTCAATGAGTTTAGGTGAATTTACTGCAGCTTTATTTTGTTCTCTTTCTATAGAATTTTTTGAATCATCAACTTCAAATTTCCTTTTTCAGTTTTTGGCTCGTTTGTGAGTATGGAAATTGACGGTTAGCAACTATTGCAGGCTGTAAATTTGAGAACTACACCACCGCCACGGCTTCTTCCACAGGTAAAACATAGAAAAAGAATTAAACGTAGCTTTTCTTTTTCGTGAGGCTGTACAGTGCTCCTGAAAGATCTATCATTATGCAGTGCCTCTTCAGTAATCAGAGAGCTGCCTTGACTGAAATAATAGATGTCTTGCGCGCTGTATGTCACACGCATAGGTTTCCATTGGCTTTGACATGGATCCCGTGCTGTTTTTCTGAGGGAGCTGCTGATGAAATACTAAGAGTAAGCGTTAGGGATGGTGACAGAAATGCTAATGAGAAATGCATCTTATGCATTGACGATACTGCTTGTTATGTGAATGAGAAGCAGATGCAAGGATTTGTTCATGCATGTGCAGAGCACTATCTTGAGGAAGGGCAAGGAATAGCTGGAAAAGCACTTCAATCAAATCATCCCTTTTTCTATTCTGACGTTAAGGCCTATGACATTTATCAGTATCCTCTCGTCCATCACGCGTGCAGGTTTGGCCTGAATGCTGCTGTTGCAATTAGGCTGAGAAGCACCTTTACAGGTGATGATGATTACATTTTGGAGTTTTTTCTACCTGTCAACATAAAAGGAAGTGCAGAGCAACAACTATTGTTGGACAACCTCTCACGTACAATGCAGAGGATTTGTAAAACTTTGAGGACAGTATCAGATGCAGAATTATTCAGTACAGAAGGCTCTAAAGTTGAGTCACAGGAAGTATCACTCCCAAACATTTCATCAATTCCCACTTATAGAGGGAGCCATCAGATAGTTTTATCCGATAACAGCACGTCTTCAATAGATAGGGGGCCCCCTCAAATGTATCTACGTCAAGAAGAACGGTCTCGGATCTTCCTTGAAAGCAGGACATTTCCTTTACCCTTCTTTACCTGTAGTGAACATGTTTTACTCGAACTTTTCTCTATCGCCTTTGTATGTTGTTTTTGGACTTCCTTTACTTGCCAACGCCCTCAATCTGCCTAGGGTACTTTGTTTTAACACATCAGTTGGTGGTTCTGCTTTGATGTCATTTTCTTTCAAAATCCCTGTGATAGAATTAGGGTTAGAAAGTTAAAAAGAAAAAAGGTTTCCTTATGAATTTTTATTTTGGTCGGAATCCTTATGACTGTTCATGCTGTAATCTATAATATATTTATCTTCAATAATTTAGTATTGTGTGAGGGAATGACAGCTGGCAGGATTGTCATCATATGTAAGAGAACTATATAGTTTCATGTTTGTTGGGCTACTAGACAATCTGAAGTACACCTTATTACGTCCACGATTGTTGCTGCTGACATTTGAAGTTTCTGATACATATATATTCAGCAGAAGTACCTGTTGCTAGGGATAACGGTTTACAGAGTCTAAAAGAGTTGATGAGGGGATTTTAGTAATTGGACCACTTCTTTTTCCCTCCAAAATCTGTTACGCTGAGGCTATGTCATTGTAGGCCAAAAAAAGAAAACAACTTGAATGTGCCCTGTTTTTTATTTCCACAGTAGAGATTATATGTGGAATTTGGGTCAAATATGTTTGTTAGAATATACAAACCAAAAAGTTTAAGCTATTAGGTGAGAAGAATAGCCTCATAGACAAGCAATGTGAGATACTTCAACAATGCTGATATTGGTGAACCCAAAAATCCTAAAAAGTTGAGAACTTGTGGGAACTAACAGATTCCAGATTCCTTATTCCGGAGGTTCCAAGGGGTCAGAAGATACGTTTTTAGGTTTAAAAAATAATCTAGTATCTGCGGGATAGGTTCCAGGGTGGCAGAGATATACGCTATACGACTTGGAACTCCATTTCAGATTTACATTTTGACATTTATGCATATGGCGTAAATTTGGATCTTCTTGAAAGAGCTGAAGGTAGTGTTCTGTTCTTTGCTCTTCTTTTTTATAATTTACACTAGATTAGATTACAGAATGGCATCATCATCTAGGGGAATGAGGCTGCCTTTTGGAATGCGACCACAGTCGGGCTCAGGGGCACAGATACATTTTCCAGCCTTTCTTTTGACTTTTCTGCAAAATCAATGGCCAAATAATTGTTTGAATTGACGATTTTTGTGGGTTATGATGGGGTTTTTGGTTAGGTGTTTATCAATGTTCCCTGGTGGTATCTGGCGTTCTACGCAATGATCAGCCCTTTTTTGACCCATAGGACCAAGAGCAAGTTTGTGTTTGCATGCCCCTCGAGAATTGCGGAGACACTTTTCAAGTAAATAGATCCAAACGCATTTCGATGCATTAAGTTCTAATCATCTCCTCCTGGAGCCTTTGTTATAGTCAAAACATTGTGCTTGTATGATTGGCAGGTACATTTCTCCTGAGCAAGTACCGGTGCAGTATGGTGGCCTGAGTGTCGATTATTGCGATTGCGATCCCGAATTTACTGTTTCTGACCCTGCAACCGAGATGACAGTTAAGCCGGGGACCAAACAAATTGTGGAAATCATAATCTATGAGGCATAAACAGATATTTTCATTCAATCTTATGCTTGAGTTCTGCTTGTTATGGATATTGTTTTTCTAATTCTATATCCTGCAAAATATGTGATAAGAAAAACTAATGGATGGATTACTTGTACTAGTGTTAGGCTGCGCATGACAACGATTCTGTGCCCGAGAACAGATTCTGCTCAGAAATGATTCTTTTTTATTCTGTGCCCGGAATTGATTCTAAGCATTTTAAGGCGTTTGTTAACGGCCCAAAATTCCATCCCTGGAATAGAAAAAGAACATAAATGCGTTTGGTAACGCCACAAAATTTCTTTTTATTAATAATATTTTTAAATATTTTAATATTTCTTTCTTTTTTTTCTTTTCTTTTTTTCTTTTCCTCCTTCTTGGCCATAGCCTGCTCGCCGGCCATGACCGGTAAAATATTTTTTTATTAATAATATTTTTATTAAAAGTATTTTTTCTTTTTTTTGGCCATGGCCTGGTCGACGGCCATGACCAGTAAAATATTTTTTTTATTAAAATATTTTTAAAAAAAATATATATTTTTATTTTTTTTTTGCCATGGCCTGGTTGCCGACCATGGCCTGTAAAATATTTTTTTTATTAATAATATTTTTTATTAAAATATTTGTATTAAAAATATACATTTTTATTTTTTTGGGCCATGGCCTGGTCACCGGCCATGGCCGGTAAAATATTTTTTTTATTAATAATATTTTTTATTAAAATATTTTTATTAAAAATATATATTTTTATTAAAAATATATATTTATATATTTTTTGGCCATGGCCTGGTCGCCGGCCATGGCTAGTAAAATATTTTTTTATTAAAAATATATTTTTTCTTTTTTTTGGCCATGGCCTGATCGCCGGTCATGGCCTGTAAAATATTTTTTTTATTAAAATATTTTTATTAAAAATATACATTTTTATTTTTTTTGCCATGGCCTGGTCGCTGGCCATGGTCGGTAAAATAATTTTTTTATTAATAATATTTTTTATTAAAATATTTTTATTAAAAATATATATTTTTTCTTTTTTTGCCATGGCCTGGTCACCGGCCATGGCAGGTAAAATATTTTTTTTTATTAATAATATTTTTTATTAAAATATTTTTATTAAAAATATATTTTTTTCTTTTTTGTGGCGATGGCCTGGTCGCCGGCCATGGCCAGTAAAATATTTTTTATTAATAATATTTTTTATTAAAATATTTTATTCTTGTCAGATCCGGCGAGGGCGGTCCTCGGGCGGACATTAGAAGCTAAATTAAAAACCAAGAAAAGGAAGAAGAAAAAAAAATTGATTCTCAAAATTGTTCCCAGAATCAAGAAGCTACTTTTTTTTTATTCTTGATTCTGCTCCAAAACTGATTCTGGGAATAATTTTTGACAAAATTATGCCCAGAATCAAAAAATTAAACAAACGCATTTCTGTTCACAAACTGATTCTGGGAACAAAAGAACAGAATCAAACACTGTTTGGCAAGTTGCCATGCGCAGCCTTAGTGACTGAGATTCTTCCAAATGCAGAATTGTGTTATCACTTGGGAGCTCCGTGTTGTTAGGTGGGAAGTCACTTATGGTGCTGAGTTTGTGCCTAACTCTGGTGGATATTCAATCAATATCCAGAAGCCCAAGAAGATGTCACCTGCGGATGAGCCGGTGGCGCATGGAACCTTCAAAGTTTCGGAACTTGGCAAAGTGTTGCTAACTGTTGATAACCCTACCTCAAAGAAGAAGAAGCTTCTCTACAGGTTCAAGATTGACCTATTGGGTGATTGACCGTGCAAAATCAATCATAGTTAGCTAAACGCAATATATTCTCGGATATATTGGAGAGTAAGAAGTCTCTGGTGCTCATATTCGTCCTCTCTCCTGGAGAAAGTTTGATTGGCGGTCAATCCTTGTAAATTATGTCACATGTTCCTTTTGTTTAGTTCATCGATTTGTGGTTTGGATTTTGAAGTTTAGGTTTTAGCTTTTTGAAACCTTTATTTTTTTCACATAGTCGTCATTTCTTGTTTTCCCCTCCTGGTGATGAGAGGCGCGATCTGGAAAATTTTGAATTTGGAGTACCAACTTGCTTCCTGTGGCTATGCTGGATACCTCTAGCTGAAGGTGGGAAGATATCGCCATGGAGACACTAGTGGTATAGTGTGGCATCTATATTGTTTTTTTGTTCTGTTCACTGTTGAATATGACTTGCATTTGCTCTTGATGTACATTAATGGAATGTGCTTGAAGTTGACATATGTCTGAACTAGTTGGCGCTGGGAGATGCATTTTATAGTCGGTAAATTTCCTTAAATGTTCGTAAGTTGGTGTCTTTCTAAAATCATCCGACGATCGAAACTCATGCTCTCTCAATTTATCGGGACAAAATGAATGGGACGGGTCTGGAGAACTCCACTCATTGCCCAATCCTCTCTTATACGGTCTTCTTTATTTAACGGGTGGGATATCTAAGACATGGGGAGATGAGTTCATAGAAATTCTCAACAAAGTAATGGTCCGTCACTCAAAATATACTAATGGTGGGTTTATTTTGCGAAAAGGAAAATGGTCGCCTATATCAATTATAAAAATAAATAAAAGAAAAATATTTTCATTGACTAAATAATATTTTTTTAATTATTTATTTTTCGCAAAACAAACGAAGTCATAATTGATAAGAGTTCACGTGTTCTGAGGATTCATGTGGATCGGGATTATGGAGTGATTGCTTCGGAATGTCCCCACCCCCATAATGCAAAGCGGAGGACAAAAGAAAGTTAGGCAAGCTGAAAAGGGGTGAAGGGAAGAGACTTATCAGCTGATAAAGTTAAAAGAGAAAGCTAGGCATAGTTTCAATTTGTACAGTTTCAAACCATTCCTCAAAAATCAATAATAATAAGCTACAATGAAGTCCTCACAATCAATTTGGATTTACTGCAATTCAGACTGAACAAAAATGGAACATATTACAACCGAGAAATACAATTGAAATATTTCAAAAATGAAAAGCAATCCAAATTTACTGATCAACAAGGGCATTGGTCTTCCGGGCAGGCCTTGGTCTTGGACCTGTAAAGGAGCGTCTTCCTCTTGGAGGACTGGTTGTTAATGATGAGCACCACTTGGCCCGGTTCCCCGACCTTGAAGCGGCAGCAGATGATGGGCTTGTCATCGGTCAGGGTTATCTTCCTGGCCTTCTGTACGATCACGGTGTAGGCACCCTCGGCGCTCGGCACGAACTCAGCTCCGTAGCTCACGTCGCACCCCACCACTTTAGCCTCCCAGACCAGAAGGCATGTCTGCACATGACACCATATTTTCATTCAATAGAACAGTTGACAGCACAAGAATAGAGCACATCACATCAGACCAACCAGCTTTAGATCATTTCTAGGTTGTTCTAGAAGGAGAAATAAGACTAACGGTGACGAAGTTTGTAATTAACGCGAAAAATAGCCTTGCCTAACCTCAGTAAGAGGGAATTCAACAGTGTGCTGGGTTGCTAGCTTGATTGTGACCTCTGTAGCAGGTTCGGCAATAGTGAACTCCTGCTCAGCCTCTGTGCTTAGCCCACCATATTGTACTGGCACTTGTTCAGGTGCTATGTATCTGTTGTCATCATCAAGAATCAGATCGAGAAATTCTTCCCACCACATTCTACTGGCACTTAATGATGCTTAATTCCCCCCACACCAAAACACCACCCAGACAACCAAAGCCCCAAGTACCCAAAACAACTGAAACAGCTGAATTATAGAACTTAGAAGGGAAAAAGGGCACCCAAGAAATAAGAGAAGCAATATCATCCACATTACAACCTACGAAAAGGAAAACTTTCACCAGATAAGAGAAGGCCAATTAAATGTAAACACACAAAAGCTAGTATAAGAGGCTTTTCAAAGATAACATGCCAACGTAAAAACCTCAAAAGCATATGCTCTGATATCTCATTAAAGGATTAGCCAACCATAAAGTCAAGTTGTAAGGAAGTGAGGTATCATCTTATCTCACTCCAATTACTCAAATACCAGGATTCCTGCCGGTGCCTATATATAGGGTTAGAAGATTGCTTTACCTAATGCCAACAGTTAAAATATCTTCCCAAGGGCAAAATTCTAAAACAATAAGCAGGCCGACAAACGCGCATGTTCGCAGTAAAAACTACCCAAACCAGCCAACTTGAAGCCAAACAATTTTGGTCAAAATTTATGAACAGAGAAACTCAAAAAAAAAAAAAAAAATACAATTCATAAACAGAGTGCACATAGTCAAATTGTTGTGCTTGTAGCCGCCATTAACCAATAGACAAAAAACGAAACAGCAGAAGATTATGAAGGTGACTCAAATGGAAGCAAATTTTTCCAGCTTTAGCAAGGGGTAACCAAGTAGCTCAATTCATAACACCAAGTCTAATCACGTACCTTAAGGTTCATTTGCGAATATACCATATCTTGATTACCTGAAAAATTGAAAATGAAGAATAGAATAAGCCCTTATACACCTTCAAGCATGAAGACTTTGGCCATAGACACTACCTATATAGAGAATGTCCCTAGTGGTCCAACAATAGAGTCAATGGCTCACTTCTCCACTGTACCTCGAATCATGTTCCTTGACAAAGAATTCATGAAAATTGGTTACTTCGACCAATTGATATGTGTTCCTTCAGAATTGTTCAACTCGTGCACCCTAGGATACTGAAAAGAGTTTGATGACCCCTACACAAAGAAATAACTAATTTATTTACATTTTAATAAACAAATGCCAAGATAAATATGTCTCAAATAATCCCATGAGTAAAAAAAGCAAGTTGTACCAGACTTAAAATGGTTCCGTGAGATCTGTTATGATACTCCAACATCTATCCAGAATAAACCATTAACAATAAATATTACAATCGTAACAATAAGATGAAATAACACTAGCATTTAAAATGATTTCATAATAAGCACTTGACTAGTGAATGGGGAAATTCCATTCATAATCCCTGGCGGCATGATGTATGGTGATTGCATCTACATATAATAAATTTGTCACTAATTTGCTTTCCAAGATTATTCACATTGTGTATATGATAAGTTCAATCCTTTGTATGGTAATACACTGAGTTATTAAATACCTAACTAGGGATAGGGCAAAATCCACTCATAATCCCCGACGGCATGATGTATGGTGGTTGCTGCATCCATATTAAAAAAATGACAAAATTAGTAAAATGTAAATACAAATGGAAGACTAAGAGTGACATACCTGATTATGAAAATTTAGATTTACTGTAAAACCACCAATGTTGCTAGGACAAAAGGCATTTTGAAACTAATTGGAATTATTCGAATAATCTGGGAGATGAGTTTCATTATGTGTTGCTTGAACAACCAACTCTGCATTACAAAGTAATAAATATGTTAATTGGCATCATGTAACATAAGCAAAAAATTTAACTTATCATATTAAGTAGAATAATATGTCACTCACCTCGACTTTCTATTCGCGTTGGAGGTGTTCTTTTCTTAGCTTTTTTCTTCCTTTTCTCACTTGAGCTTTTAAGTCTTCCATAACTAATTCCCTTCGCTTTCCTTCGATGGGGGTCCAATATCGGAATCTCGCATAAAGAAGCCCCGTTACCATCATCATCACTAGCATTATCAGTCACAACCATACTTGATTTATATGACATAATTTGAGCCTTCGCTTTTTCCATACTCTTCCTCACTATTTTCATAGTATTTTCATCCTCGGCTCCCAAACTATTCAGTTCGATGGATTCATGCATTAACATGGAATATCGATTAAATTTAGATGAACCTAGTGCCATTTCATGAGGTTCATTATTCACAATCCCTTCTTTGGCATCCTTAGTCCATCTTTTCAAAAAATAGGCAGATGGAATACCCGTAATCGATGATTTCTGACTCAACACTTTCAAGGCATGACGACACAACCACCCTTTTAATTCAAATAATTTACAATCACAAGAAACTAAAGAGTTTGCAGGGTCAATTTGACAACATATTCACTCCCATTTAACTTCTCCTTTAACTTGAGAGTAAAAAAAATAAACCGATCCATCAAATGCTTCACTTGAAATATGTTGAGAGACACTTTGCAAGAATTCATGATTGAACCATTTAAAAATGGTAACTGAACCAGCATGCATTAAGATGTCATTATCCAAAATGGCCAATTTGGGATTCCCTCGACTACTGTAATTATCTTGAGTTTCAATTTCTCTCTTGTGCTTCACTTGTTCTTCATAGTGGTGAACAAACTCTACAAGAGTCCATGTCTTCGTTGACATGCGTTGAAAGACATTATTGGTGCTCTCACTCCTTTGGCTGGATCTTATACCACATGTAAAAGTGTCGCGACCAAAAGCTGAACTCCATTTGTATCTAATGTCATATAATCTTCAAAGCCAAGTGTTATTCATAGTATCCCACTCCTTTTCCATTTCCCTCCAAGTAGATTCAAATTCTTCCTCCAATGTACATCTGTATATAAGCGCTAAGAAATATGGATCCTTAAAACCCGACTTATGGTAAAGACACGGGATGTTTTGGTTGGCATTTTTCCCAATGTGCCAAGTGCATAAATGGTGTTGTGTATTTGGAAACACCGTTCTAATGGCTTTTGCCATGGCTTGGTTTTGATCAGTGAACTTGGTTTTTGGAGTCTTATTTTCCATAGACTTCAAAAAAGCCTCAAACAACCAAATAAATGATTCTGCAGTCTTGTCCAACAAAAATGCACAATCAAACAGAACACTCTTCCAATGGTGATTAATCCCGACAAATGGTGCACATATCATATTATATTTGTTGATACGATATGTGATATCAAACACTAGCACATCACCAAAACAGTCGTAATCAAATTTCGACATTCTATCTCTCCAAAATAAATTTGTCATTCTACCATCTTGATCTACCTATACAGCGTATGAAAACATTGGATTTTGCATTTGCATCAAATGAAAATGATTTTGAACACTTTGATAACCTGTGACATTCTGAATTTCGACCCATTTTCGGGATTTATGAATGATTATATCGTCAATGCACTTTCAGTTAAATCTCGCTCTGAATTGGTCGCTCATGAGAAGACTAACCGTTAGGGAATGGCTAGTTAGGAATTTAGTATGTACGACCAAAGAACTCGACCCTGGATTGACACTTCGACCATAAAGATTGACGAGGGAATATTTTGGGCCATTATAGACCGATCCAAGAATGGTTATGGAATGATTTGCCAATGTTATACAATTGGATCGCAGGTGATTCTGCTTGACCATTGTATAAATTACGAACGTTCCTAAACCAAATTCTAATGATTGTGTCGTTCGGAACTAGTGATTGACCCTCGTAATTACATGACAACCGAGGTCACCATGGCTCGAGTAAACTTAAATGTGGCTTGATTTCGAATCAACCACGGGTTGAATACGCGTAATTCCTAAAAGCCGCCCGTTAGTTCGAGATACACTAAAGTCGCGATTGATCGATTTTGGCCATGAATTGAAATTCAAACTTGGGTATTGAACTTTTGAGGATGTCAAAACTATTTTATTGGACCTTACCTCATTAAGCTCGCTTAGTTATTGGTTTGCTCAGAAATTCTCGAAAAAATGAAATTCGGCTTAGAAATTGAAAAAGACTCTTTTAACCCTTTGTGTTCTAGGACTTCTTTGTTAAGTGGAAGGGAATAATGGTCTTTGTACACTTGGGTGGCCGAAAATCCCCTTGGACAGATTTGTCCCTTTGCTTTTTGGTTATTTGCTTAATTGCCTTTTCTAGAAGCTTTTCAAAGAGTAAACCCTAGCCATTGGATTTTGGCTTGTAGGCCAAGGAGTAATCTCAACCCTCCATCTTGGATGAAGATGTTCAGCCCATTCTCTCTCTCCTCTCTCTCTCTCTCTTCCATTGTGTTCAGTCCATTTCCTCTCTCACTCTCTCACGCCCCACCATTCCGACCAGCCATCACCACCACCATCCACCACCAACGCCTTCACGCCACCACCCTAGAGCCACCGTGGACCACCTTGAGCCGCCCCCTTGCCGCCGTTCACGCCTGGAACCGCCGCCCTTCATTGGATCGCCGTTTGGCCGCCAAGGTTCGCCAGAGTTGCTGCTGGGTTTGCTGGCTGTTGCTGCTGGTTTGGCTTGGATTTCTAGCTTAGTTTAGTGGTAAGTAACTCCCTAAGCCTTGATTAGGTTGATAGATTACTAATGGATTAGTTTATGAGCTGTTTAGTTGTAATTTAGTGGTTGATTATAGGTGGATTAGTGGACTGATTGGTGGGTTAATCTAGTGGCTGAGCATGTTGGTTTTTAGGGCTGATCTTGAGGATTATTAATGTTGATCGTGTGGCCCTAGCTTGATCAGGAGTTTAATGTTGCTAATTTTGGCTTGATTTGGTTAATTGTGTTAATTAGTGGCTAATTGAGTTTAAATTCGTGGGTTAATCATGTGGTGGCAATAATCATGTGGTAATGGCTGATTTAGATGAGGTAGACATCAATCACGTGGCTTACATTAGTTCTTTATATGTTAATGGTGATCATGTGGTTAGAAATGTGTGATTATGTGCTAATGATGATCATGTGGTTAGAAATGTGTGATTATGGACTAATCTTGATCATGTGACTGAATGTTGATCATATGGTTTGATGATAGATCATGTGTCTTAGATTGGTTGACGATGTGCCATTGTTAATCTGTGGTTAATTAGTTTGATCGTGTGGTTGTGATCAATGATCATGTGGCTGATTAGTGGAATCAATGGCTGATCTTGTTTTAATTGTTTAATCATGTGGTTTAAGTGTTAATCATGTGGTTGATTGTATGATTAAAGTTGATCGTGTGGTTGTGATCAATGATCATGTGGCTGATTTGGTAATTCATGGTTGATTATGTGATTAATGTTTGATCGTGTGGTTAGATGATTGATCATGTGGCCGAATTGGGGAAATTCTTAGCTAATCCTATGTTAAAGTTCAATCGTGTGGTTCAAGCGTTAATCGCGTGGCTAAATTTGGTTGTTCATGGCTGATCATGATGTATCATGGCAAATGGTGACTAGAAAATGATGTTTGATATGTATATGAGTGCGATTCATGGCATATTCGTTCGTAGGAAATGCACGTCATAAACATTTTGCATTGGCTAATTAAGAAAGATAAGAATTGGCAATGCGTGATTGTTTACGTGCATGGCCATGATATGTTCCGTCTAGGCGGAAGTTATAGACAATGCCCGGCGGGAGTTCGGATGCCGTCTAGGTGGGGGTTCTAGACGTTGCCGATCGCAGTGGAGGCCGGATCGATGCTCTTTTTGGAATGCCGTTGGGTACTCGGCTTGCCGAGGGGTGTTCAATCCCCAATGTTGCCGTCGCCGATGTAGCGGGACGAGGCCTGGTTACGCCAGAAGATCGGT